TGTAAAACATTGGCATGGGCTACCAGCATAGTGTATGGCCTTGAAATAGTTTCACCTGGACACATTTAATATCAGACATGTAACCGTGTCATTATCACCATGTTCTAATTATATTAACCAGCTCAATCACAAATATCTCAAAGGGCTGGAAGCCTCCCCAAACAAACAAATATACATATATGTGCAAGAAAAGTTACCTTTCTCATCGGGAAGAGATGGTACGCTATCACTCCGCAGAGAATCATCTGCAGCAGTCTGAACCTGTTCATCAATAGAACTCTCCATCTTTTCACCATGAAGTTTCTTCTCATTTTCCTTAGAAGATAGAACTGAAGGACTTTCTTGACGGCTGCTACCACTACTACTTCTGTTTATGGTTATTATGGAAACAAACCAAAAAAAAAAAGGCGACAAAGTGAGGATCATTAACTTCAAAGTAAACATATTTAGACAAAGAAATGTGCCTTATGATCAATATATAAAATGATGAAAGATATAATATAAAACATAAAAATGCTAAGTAGACACAAGTCTGAGAAGAAACTGCTTTAGAAAAGATGAGTAGGAAGGAGGAAGGTTTCACTTTTAAATAATCATGATGGGTATCCACTACTCTCAGGCGATCACTCCCCTTTATCCTTTTATTTTAAAATCAAGCTCCTGGGAAAGGGGGCTTCTACTTGCTGTTTCCACTTCCTTACTTTTCATCAACATCACAATTTATCACAATCTGCTTCAATCCCAACTATTCTACTGGCACTGTTCTTGTAAACTATACCTGAACTCTAACTGCCAAATCCAACACATAATTTCTTTTTCTGCCCAACATTAGATGATGTTAACCTCTATCGTCTTTAAAAGCTCCACTTGCTAAAGCAAATGTAGTAAAATGTTAACATTAGGGTAATCTGGATGAAAGATATTCAAGAACTTTGTATCATTCAACTTTTCTATAACCTTGAAATTATATCAAAATTAAATGTTAAATAAAAGAGCTCTCCTTATATTCCCTGACTCTACTCTCACCTGCTTCTCTTGCTTATCTTCCTAAACAAGTTTCCCTGTATTTCTTCCACTTCCTTTTAATTTTTCTATCTTTCCTTAAAACAATGGTGCTTTCTAGAATTTTGGTTTTGGTAGCTTTCTGTTTTATGCTACATACTCTCTTTGGGCAATCTTACACACCCCTATAATTTAAACTACTATCATTTAGATTGAGCCTCAAATCTGTACCAGTAGCTCTGCCCTTCTCCTGATTTTAAGCCTCAAGTTTCCAAATGCTTAGTGAACTTGTTTTCAAGTTCAATGTTTTCCACCCTCCTCCTTCGCTTTCCTTAGTTTATTCATTCACTTAAATATATATTTGTTGTCAGTACTGTTGAGTCGATTCTAACTCCTAGCAATCCTGTACAGCAGAGTGGAACCCTGCCTGGTCTTTGTGTACTATCCTCTCACCTTCTGGCGCTATGTCAGACAATGTCCCACTGCTATTCATAGGGCTTTCATGGCCAATTTTTTGGGAAGTAGGTGGCGAGGTCCTTCTTCTTAGTCTTAGTCTCAAAGCTCTGCTAAAACCTATCCACCATGGATGACCCTGCTGGTATTTGAAATACCAGTGGCATAGCTTTCAGTACCATAGCAACATGCAACTGCCACAGTTAAGACAACTGACAGATGGGTGGTGTGTTTCCCTGACCAGGAAACGAATCCAAGCTGTGGTGGTGAGAGTGCCAAATCTTAACCACTAGACCACCAGGACAGATAAATATATATATTAATATTTAGAGTTATAAGGAGCTTATGCACACATACATATATATATATGTCAAGGAGCTAATCATGAGCCAGGTGCTGAGATCCTCTGCATAAACAGATCCTTTCTGCCAAGGTGCTTGTGGACCCCTTCTCCCACTCCCAAGGAAGGTTTGGTCACTTCTGTCTCTGTGTTGATACCGCTTTTTGTGTGTGTTCTTATGATAGTATTTATCAGAATATTATCCAATTATTTGTCTAATTTAATAAATGTTTTTAACAGGATAAATCATATAATAAAGTTATAAGTAAAAGATACAATGCAGGAGACAGCAAATGCTTTGGAGTCAGAAAGATATGGGGTTAATCTCAATTCTTCCACTTAGTAGTTATATGCCAATCATTCCCTCAATAAACATGTAGTAGATTGCCTACTGTGTGCTAGGGCTATTGATAAGTTCTGGGGATAGAAGAATAATATGGTCTTCATTAGGATGGGTATAACGAAAAAGAAAGACAATAACAAGTGTTGGTGAGGATGTGGAAAACTTTTATATTCTTGGTGGGAAAGTAAAATGGAACAGCTACTTTGGAAAACAGTTTGGCAACTCTTCAAAAAGTTAAACAGAGTTACTATATGATCCTGCAATCCTTCTCCTAAGTATATACCCAAGAGAAATTAAAACAAATGCCCACACAAAAACAGTTAAAAAGTGGAAACAATCCAAATGTCCATCAACCGATGGATAAATAAAATGTGGTAGATCCATGCAATAGAATATTATTTGGCTATATAAATAAAGTACTGATATATGATAGAGGAACCTTGAAAACATTATACTAAGTCAAAGAAGCCAGTCACAAAGGACCACACATTGTATGATGCCATTTATATGAAATGTCCAAAAAGACAAATCCGTAGGAACAGAAATAGAAAGTAGATTAATGGTTGGCAGAGGCTGGGGAAGAAGAGGCATAAGAAGTGGCTGCTAATGGGTACAGGGTTCTATTTGGGGTGATGAGAACATAGCCCTCAAAGAATTCTAATCTAGATAACTGACGAGTAAAGGAACAAGGATATAGAAGCTAGTAAAGGCTGTAAGAGTTATATTCAGAGTATTGTGGGAGAACATAGATCTACAGCAGACCAGGGGTAGCACTGATTCTTGAAGGAGAAGTAAAAGTAACCCAAATGAAATGGACGGAGAGGGTCTAAAGGAAGACGCATTAGACGCAACGGCACAGAAGACAAAGAGAGCATGGTTTTAGAGATCTGAAGTAGTTAGAATTAGTGGAGTGTGACAAGAAGGGAAATGCCAAGAGACACAGCTGCAGATGGACCAAAGGCTCAATAACAAAGGCACTTTCATGTTATATTAAGTGGCTCTGAGAGAATACTGAGGGTTTCAAACAGGTGAATAACCAATTGGCTGCAAATTTTAGAAAAATCACTCTGATTACCATGTGGTTAATGAATAGAGTGAGGAAAGGTTAGAGGATGGGGAAACGTATTAGGAGTCCACTGCAGTAACTCAGATCGTGGCCTAAATGAAGTGTCAGTGAAGGTTAAACGAAAGTCACATGGTTCCAGACACACAGTATGTACTCAATAACTGTTGGTACTTACCTCACGTTGATTTTCACATGTTTTTAGAATCACGATTTAATTTTTTAATTGAGGTTTTACTACACTCTGACAACGTAGGTATCCTACCTCTAAGAATTCTGGAAAGAAGCCCCTAAAACCTTCCAATCCAAGGACAGAATCATAATTGAAAACTATAGATGTTAATAATGTCCCAAGTACCAATGACAAAGTACTCAATCTTCTTTTACAATAATAAAAATTAGCACATACAGTAATGTCAAGAAATACGAATGTCAGCAAAGCAATGTAGAAGAAACAAAGGCTTTGGAGCCAGATAAACCAAGGTTCAATTCCTTGGTGTGCCACTATCTATGTGACCTTCGGTGAGTTTCTGAGTACTTCTCTGAGCCTTTGTTCCCTCATCTATCAAAGGAGAATAATATCTGTCTTGGAAAGTTGTTATGAAGAGTAAATGTAGGAAAAACAACTTATACAGTGCCTGTACAATGTAAGCTCTCAAGGAATGGTAGCTATATTATTACATGGAACAACTACTTTGTAAATCAGCTAATTAAATGGGGGAAGCCAGAACTTTGAAGGGAAGACACTATCTCATTTAAAGAAATGAGACTAAAAATTAAAAAAAAACAATGTCTAAGCCATTTATCAGACTTTACTAAATCAAACTCACCTTCTATCATGATTCTTGTATCTTGAAGACTCAGAATAACTATCATATGAGGGGGAATACTTCCGATGCTTTGAGTCAAGGGTCCCTTCTTTACTCTGAGACAGTGAAACAGATTGACTTTTCCTACAAAGAAAAGAAAAACTGATTAAACATTTAAAGTCTCTAATAAAAGAAAAATTTTAAACACTGTTTAACATTAACGAGATAAAATCTTGAATTCATAGAAATAATGAAGTCACTGTTACAAAGTTTTTGAGAAAGAAAGGCATTCACTCATAGAAAAGGGTATATAGCACATTAAAGAATATCTTCTCATATAATAAATATGAGAACTACAAATCACCCCAAGTATCAATGAATGTGAACTGAGACTTAAAATCTACAAATTAGAGGCTGTCAAAACGTGATGCAAAAAACGACACACACAAACATGATCACATTATCCAGCCCTGCCTAAAATACTCTCTGATGACCTTTCACTGCTCCTAGAATAAACTCCAGAAGCCTGAAGGTCTGCAAGGCCCTACCATGATCTGATCCCTGCAGCACCTCCTACCATTCTCCCCTTTGCTCTCTGCCTCCAGTCACACTAGTTTCCCTTTACTTTCTTTTCCTACATTTGCATGTATTGACCTGCCTACTCTTTACCTCCTGTATATCACTGACTCCCTTTCTTCCACTAAATCTCACCATAAGCTTTACTTCCTCAGGAAAACTTTCTCTGACCTCCTTGCATTCCCAGGCTATTCAAATTCCTTTCTTACATATCTCAGAGACATACGTTCCTTTTTTTCACAACACTTATCTCAGTTTTAAGTGTTCATTCACTTAAGTGAATATTTGATTAATATCTATCTTCCCTACTATATTCCCAAAACTATATTCCTAGTACCCACAATAGTGCCTGAAACATACTAAATACTCATTACATGTTTGTTGAATGACTGAATATTAACCTATCTGTTTCAGCTCTGGTCCTCAGTTGCTTCACGAAGTCGGGAGCATGTTGCCGCTGGTGGTCATACAGTGTTACTAGTGGAGCTCCTGAAGCAGTGACAGCATCTGAGATATGAGTTCGAGTTAACTCTGCCATCTAAATATGAACACAAACAAAGCAAAAGCAGATGTAAAAAAGATAATATCACAGAAGAACTGAGAGGGAACATAGTGTTTTGGAAAGATCACTGGATTGAAAGCAAGCAAATTCTGCAATAATAGGTAAAATATTGTGGGTAAGTCATTTAGACGCTTTACGTCTCAGCAGCTTCCTTATAAAAATAATGGGTTGAACAATATGATTTCTATGGTTTCACCCAGCTATAACAATCTATGAATTACATAGAAAACCTTCAAGTCATAGAATAAGACACAGTAAACCAAAAATCAAATCTTGCTTTAAGAATCAATTCAGTTACTACTTCCTAAGTCTTTTCTGACCAAGAAAGTGAAGCATATTTTCCCTACTCTTAGCCACTACTGCAATTGCTGCATGCTTTATTCATACAGTATTCATTCAATCACTGCCTTGATGACTTGACGTATTTTTGAAATCTTTATTACTGTTGTCTAAAATTTTTTTGAGAAAAGAGACTCCACTTTATACTTATTTGCACAATCCCATAGTACTCAACATATAGCAGGTTCATGGCTTTCTAATAACAGAATCACTTCAACAAACGGTTCTAAACTGTAACTGATAAAACAAACTGAAACTATATCTATAGATTATGATATTCTATATGGAGACAGCAGTAAAACTATTTCTGGCTTTATCCTTGGTACAGTAAAAGAAAAGACACCAACATCACTCTGGATAAAAATGAAACATCTTGATACAAAGCAGATCAGTGGCTCCCTGGGAACCAAGTTGGTGACTGACTACAAAGGGACAGGAGGGAACTTTTTAGAGTGTTAGAAATATTCTTGATTTCTTGATTATGGTGGTGTTTACAGGGATAGATAGATAAGATATAGAAATATAAAGATATCTATATGTATGTATTTGTTAAAACTCATCAAACTGTATACTTAAAATGGAAACATTTTATTATTTGTAAATTACACATCAATAAAATTGGTATGTTTTTTAAAAGTTTACTCAAGGGCAGGAATTTCTAGTTCTTCTCTATCTTTTTTTCTGGCTCTATATCATTCACATGTATAACACCCTGCAATAAATGTGCTTCTTATTTCAATAGGGTATGGCCCCCATTGAAAGTCACTAATTGAAAGTATGCATTTGCAGGGCCAGCCCTGTAGCCCAGTGATTAAGTTTGGTGTGCTCCGCTTTGGCAGCTCGGGTTCAGTTCTCAGGCATGGACCTACACCACTCGTCAGTGGCCATGCAGTGGCAGCGACTCACACACAAAATAGAGGAAGACTGGCACAGATGTTAGCTTAGGGAGAATCTTTCTCAAGCAAAAAGAGGAGGATTGGCAGCAGATGTTAGTTCAGGGCGAATCTTCCTCAGTAAAAAAAAAAAAAAAAGTATTCATTTGCTGGATGTTAGAAACCCATTACTGCAAAGAGCAAAGTTACTGACATTGACTAAAAAGAACTAGAAACAAAAATGTTCTCCATGGCTCTTACCTCACAGATCTGGCGTGCTGCATCTGTGGTGAGGCGAGCAGCCTCTGTTTGCTGGGCAGCTATTTTACAAGTTGCTTCCTGCAGGACTTCAGTCACATCCCGTTGTGATTTAACCACCTGCTGTAATGATTCCGCATGGACCTGTAAATAAAAACGGGTGAAAAGAGAACTTATGTCTCAGTCTCTCCCCATTCCAAATTAGTTTTTATTAGTAAATTTGTTTCATGGATTGAATGCCTTGTAAAAGAAAAAACCATTTGACTACTATTTGGATTTCATATCTTAAAATCTAGAGTTTAAAATCTGGAATCTTAAAGTCACTGCTGGACCTTAAGTCTTAACCACTGTTCACGAGCTGATGTGTCTGCAGACAAGGAATCACTATACACCTCAGTTTCCACTTCTCTAAATTGGAGACAAATCTTGACTACTTAATTTCACAGGGCTGTTACAAGAATCAAATGACATGAAATTAACCCATATGGCATAATGTACTAAAACATTATTATTTATATCTTTTCTTTTTTATTCCTATATAACTAATAGAATACTGAAGTAATTTCAAAGATAAAAATTTAAGTTTAAAGAACCAGTACACACTGCAAAATAAGTTACCTGAGCTGCTTTGTTTCGGGTTTCTTCTAATTGTCTCTGACACTCCAGAGCCTCTTTTTCAGCCTTTAATTTCAAAAGGGCCAAGTCTCTTTCATGGCGTTGCTGCTGTGCCTTTGAAATAAAGAAATAATCAACTACTAATTCTATGATACTAAATTATTTTAATACAGTGACTATATTTAAACTCAATGCTATTTTTCTAACACAAATATTTCGAAGCAACAAATTAGAGCCTAAAGGAAAGAAGGTAAATAGGATAGACATTAACCATTTATCATCTATCAAAATGTTTAGTGACCACCTACTATGTGTCAAATATGTAATAATATAAAACATTCCCAAGGCCTACAGGACTAAGAACTGATAATAAAAAGTTGGTGTGAAACTAAAAGCTATGGTGCCTAACTCTTTGAAAGAGATTAAAATGTCCTGTGTGTAAAAACAAAGATAATGCTTCACACCTCACACTTCTATGATTCCTTTATTTTGATTTGAAGAAGCAGTTTCATAAAAATGTTGGCCCAAAAAAGGTCTTCTTTTCACCAGGACCCTTTCTTACCAGTATTCCATAAAATGCTATCTATAAATTTATATATTGTCATTTCTTCTGGAATAGTGCTAAATAATATAGCTCCTCTAAAGGTGGGAAGGCTGTGTATAAAGCCATATAATGCCCTGTCCAAATCTGGAAACCCAGAATTATAACTTATCCCTAAAATGGTAGAAAACCTCAGTGCTTTTTCAGATTTCAAGGTAAGTACGCATGGCCACTGCAATGGGGCCATTTCCTCAATCCAGTGATTTTTAACAAAGTCGTTATCAGTCCCTTCCTACTCTCCACCAGAGAGCATTTGGAAAAGTCTGGAGAGTTTTTGCTGTCACAACTGGATAGCACTACTGCTATTTATTGGGAGGGGTGCATGAATGCTGAACTCCCGACAAAGCATGGGATAGTTCCACACAAAGAACTGCATATAGGTATTTTGGGAGGAACAACTATAAAATGAAATTGAAAAAAAATATCATTTATGACAGAATCAAAAGACATAAAATATTTAGGAAGAAATTTCAAAATGTATAAGACCTCTACAGTGAAAATTACACTGCTGAGAGAATATTTAAAAACCTAAATAAATAGAAAAAGATACCATCATGATCACGAATTAGAAGATGCAATACTGTCAAGATGTGAATTCTCCCCAAACTGATCTACAGATTCAATGCCATTCAAATCAAAATCTTGTCAGGCTTTTTTTTTTTGGTAGACACTGATAAACTGATTCTAAAGTTAGGCAGAAATGCAAAAACGTTATAATAGCCAAAACCATCTTGAGAGAGAACAAAGTTGGAGCAATTACACCCTGATTTCAAGACACAGTGTAAAGCAATAATAAAACAGTATGGTAATGGCATTAAGGACCGACAAATAGCAATGGAAAAGAACAGAGTCCAGAAATAGACCTACATATAAACGATTACTTAATTGTTGATAAAGGTACCAAGGCAATTTAAGTCTTATTGAGAAAACGGTGCTGGAACAACTGAATAACCATATGGGGGAAAGATGAACTGTGACCACTTCCTCACACTCCATAATTAACTTAAGATGATTCACACACTTATATATAAAAGCCAAAACTATAGAGCTTTCGGGGAAAACATAAAAGAATATCTTTGTTAAGTGTACGCTAATATCTTTTTATTTGTTTATTTATTTATTTATTTATTTATTTATTTATTTATTTATTATTTTTGAGGAGGATTAGCCCTGAGCCAACATCCACCACCAATCCTCCTCTCCTTGCTGAGGAAGACTGGCTTTGAGAGTACATTAGTATCTTAGAGTAGGGAAAGATTTCTTAGAAAACAAAAGGCACTACCGTAAAAGAAAAAAATTAACACTAAATTTCATCAAAATTAAAATATTCTGCTCTTCAAAAGAAACAGTTTAAAACAATGAAAAGGCAAACCAAGGACCAGGAAACAATATTTGAAATATATCTGAAAAAGACTTGTTTCTAGAATAAAGAACTCCTACAACTCAGTAATTAAAAGATGAACAACCGGGTATGAAATAGGCAAAAGATTTGAACATTCACAAAAAAAGACTTAAGAATGGTAAATAAATACACAAAAATATGATCAATCTTATCAGTTATAAAAGAAATGCAAATTAAAACCAGCAATGAGATACTACTTTGCACTCACTAGCATAACTAGAATACCAAATAATAGCAGGATATGGAACAACTGGAACTCTCATATACTGCTGTACGATGGTAAGATGTTACAACTATTTAGTAAAAGGGTATAGCAATTTCTTATAAAATTAAACACATACTTACACTTGACCCAAGCAAGTACATTCCTAGGTATTTAAGCAAGAAAAATGAAAATCTGTGTTGAATACAGAAAGCTGTAGAAAATGTTCAGGGGCCAGCCTGGTGGTGTAGTGGTTAAGTTCGCATGCTCTGCTTCAGCAGCCCGGGGTTCATGGTTTTGGATCCCAGGCATGGACCTACACACTGGTGGCTCATTAAAGCCATGCTGTGGTGGCATCCCACATACAAAATAGAGGAAGACTGGCATGGTTGTTAGCTCAGCGACAATCCTCCTCAAGCAAAAAGAGGAAGACTGGCAACAGATGTTAGCTCAGGGCCAATCTTCCCCACCAAAAAAAAAAAAGTTCATAGGAGGAATATTTATAACCGCCAAAAACTAGAAATAATACAAATGTACATCAATAAGAGAATGGATAAAAAATTTTTGATACATTAATTCCTGGAATATTTGGTAGAAAAACAAAACTATGGGTAAAACAACAGAGATGAATATTAAAAACATTATGCAATATAGAAAAAGCTAAACACAACAAGTACAAATTATACTTCAGTTTATATGAAGTTCTAGAACGAGCAAAAATAAACTATGGTGATAGGAATCAGAACAGCAATTGCCTCTGGGAGGAGGGGTTAACTGAAAAGGGGCATGGGTGAACATTCTGGCGTGAGAGAAGTATTCCATATTTTGATTAGGGTGATTGTTACACGGTTACAATGGTCAAAACTTATGAAACTATACACTTAAAATTTGTGTATTTTATTATATGTAAATAGTACCTCGGTTAAAAAAAAAAAATCCCAATAACACCCCCACCGAGGAACACTGCTTACACACTGGATTTTTGTTAGCAAAGGAAAAGTCCAGATTATCCTGGCTTTATCAAAAACCCATATCTCAGAAACTTTTCTCTTTGGTACAAATAAAGCATTAAAAAGAAAAAAACTCAGTCACCTGACTTTGTCAGTAAAAAGAGAAAATATTGAGAATATTTGATTAGCTGATTTTCATACTGTCATTAAAAAAGTAGAGAATGTGGAAAATGAAATATTTGAGAGAGAATGATTATATTATTGTTCTACTGCCAAACATTGCATGTTTAATTTTCTTTTCAGTACTCTATATGATAGTTTTTCCTAGGGTTATTTATAGCTGCTATATGGCAAACTATTCTTTTCTACTTGGCAGGTTAAAGTTTTTTTTAATTCATCATTGACTATTTTAGATAGCAAAGAGAAGAGGAAAAACACAGAAAGCTAAAGAAGAAAACTCCACGAATACCTTTATGATCTGAGCCAGAGACACACTCTCCTGCTGAGCAAGCGAAATGCCTCTAACTCTTTCTACATCTGATAGCTGGCGCACCGACTCCTCAATGGCACTCAAGTAACTGAGTTCTGCTACCATACGATGCTGGAGGCCAGCAGGAGAAAAGCGCTTAGAACCTGGAGGGCATAAGAAGTGTCAAATGTAAAAGTTCACACGAAATTACATCTCAGATTCTAAAATTCACTTCTCATTTTAAGAGCCAAAAACAATACTAATTTCCTATGTAGGAAAGACAGTGACTTCTTAGTACAACGTATCTTAGTAGTTACTCCTTTTGTGTGTGGGTATGGGTGTGTATGCATGTGCATGCATGTGTCCATACAAATATAGATACCTACAAACACTTAGGGGTACATATATGGGATACATTTTTCAGGTGTATCTGACTAATGCTGGCAAGATGGGAAAAATCACCACTATTGAATCACTCATACTTTTCAATATTTATTTTCCTGCATAGTCTTTGTTTACTACTTCAAAAAGTAATCACAATCACTTGAGGGGCCAGCCTGGTGGCGCAGCAGTTAAGTTCGCACGTTCCGCTTTGGCGGCCCGTGGTTCACTGGTTCGGATCCTGGGTGTGGACCTATGCACTGCTTGTCAAGCCATGCTGTGGTAGGTGTCCCACATATAAAGCAGAAGAAGATGGGCACGGATGTTAGCTCAGGGCCAGTCTTCCTCAGCAAAAAGAGGAGGATTGGTGATGTTAGCTCAGGGCTAATCTTCCTCAAAAAAAACAAAAAAGACAACCCTCCCCCTCTACCCCCAAAAAAAGTAATCACAATCACTTGAAAAAACATTTCCTTATGGTTCAACGGAAAGAAAAGAACTTTTCAGGAAAAAAATTAACATCTCATTTTTTAAATTACAGATGCATGGATCTACTTGCCTGGTGCTGAAGCCATCTCTGTATTTGTTCTGCTGGCAGCCAGGTTCATATCAGTAAAAGCTGCATTAGGCTTAAATCCTGTTACAGTTGGAGTCATTATTACTGAGGATTTAGATCTTTCTAATGAAGTTCCTGGCAGGTCAAATGGCAACAATTTCTGGGAACTTGGAGATAGGGGAGAAGTTGGAGTTTTCTGAGATCTTCCCTTGTCTGATGAGACACTAGAAGTTTTGTTTCACAAAGACATTAGAGAAAGGAAAACTACTTCAAGAACCAGCTAAGTTCCTAAGAACAGCATGCATTATCTTCTTTAACATTAGCTTTAAAAAGCTGTGATTCAGGCATTTATTCACTCAACATAGTTGCTATGCCAAATGAAGGCCTATGAGGACTCCTCTTACTGCTACATTTACAGTGGTCCACAAGCTAGGGACAAACCCTGCGCAGAATAAAACGGAAAAGGAGTCTCTTGATTAAACTGGCACCTAACTCTCTCCTCTGCAATGAATATATGTCACGAATCACTTAGTGTAGTATGAGGCAAAACCCTCTAAAATACTTACACTTCATATAGAAAAATTATAGCCGTATATAAAAGGTAAGGTCAAGTCTATCTTATAAAAAATGTCTTAAAATATGTCTTTGAAAGAAAATAAAATATCATTTTGTATTAAAACTTAAGAAATGACAAAAACTACTCTTTTGTTATTCCTAACCCATAAGTCATAACAAAAAATTATTTTCATACTCACCATCCCTAAGTACTTTACACATGTCCTTTTGTTTCCATCCATCTTTTAACATTATAGTTCTTTCCTGAACTTTCTGATAAGAAGCAACCTCTCCCAACAGTTTGATTGGAACAACTCTCAAGGCATTTAATTCAACACAAGGCACAGGTCTAGCTCTTCTTCGAGAAATTAAGCTCACTAAAGGTATTGTTTCTCATAACAAGAAGCATTTTGCCTTGCAAGAAATATTTATTTATTAAATAAATGACTCAAAGATACTCTATAAAGCATGTTAGCATAGTGAACATATTTCTAACATTCAAGTTTACTTTTTGCTTTAATAAAATTATGAGCGTTTTCAAAGGTAAACATTTTTCTTATACTCAGCATGTAAATACTTGAATAAAATTGTTCTTGAGAGGCACTTGCCTGTCTACAGTGACCTTTAATTTTCTATTGATTATTTAGAGAAACACTAGTTTTAACAGTCTGACAATTTCATTTATGGAACCTAAAAAGAATTATCATTACTTCTGTCTCCTAATAGATTTCCATGAAAGAATTCCAACATGACATCGAAACAGTACTCTGTCTGAATTTGAACCTTATGGTTATACAAGATGAATTTATATTTGCTCTGCAGAGAAGATTCACCTAGACTAGCATTTCCAAAAGTATGTTTCCAACGATGTTAATAAGTTTTCCAAAAAGTAAAAAGGAAAGAAAGGGGAAGATCTTGGGGACAGGGTGTCTACAGCCAAATAAGTTAGAAAAAATGGGCTAAATAATTTTTTTAAAAATCTGGACTCCTCCTTATTAACCCTCGAATTATTTTATCCACTGTAAATCACCATAGATGGGGAAGAGGGGGTCCAGATTAGAGTATAGGGCATTTATCAAGCTTACGTGGCTATGGATTCTGTTTTAGAAATGTTTGATTTTGCAGATTTTGCCAATTAAATCATCAGAGTATCTCTAAAGGAAAGATAAAGTTTCCCGAATTTCAAAATCACTGACAAAGAAACTAAGATTCAATTTTAAATATAGCAATGATGATATTAATGATACAACATTATTTGTAACATGAAAGCACTAAAAATGATTATCTGTAACACTATACTAGAAAAAGCACATAGTTTTAAAAGAAAAAAATAAATCCATGTCTTCTCAGAGCTTAAATTTCCACAAGGACAAAACCAGTGCAGCAGATAAAAAGTCATGTGGACAAAGGAGTAGGAACTGTACATGAAGAATAACTGATGGTTATTTGTAAGCAATAGGCTAAGTACATAATATATGATATTAAAAAGAAGAAGAAAAAACCCACAGAGTGCACAAGCTCCATAACCAATATAAGAGTGAGATTTCAAAATCTGCTTGAGCCATCTAATAAATTGAGCAGGAGAGAAAAGTTCAGAGGAAGAAATAAACAATGAAACAAAAGGATGCTAAGTAGCTGTGATGAAAGAGTGGAAGAACACATTTGAGAAGAAAATGTATAGACAAAGGAAATGAGATAGTTTATGGTAGCATAGAGAAAAACACTTCAAATAAAGTTATTGATCCATAGGGTAACTATGAGCTCCCCAAGTACCCTAAAGAGAGTAGTGATAGTAATAAGATAACAATTATTCACTAAAATTTGGTTTAAAAGCATTGAGTCAAGAAAATAACTGTGGGAATAGCATTTAGAAGAAAGGTGGGTTGTGCTAGAGGCAGAGAATTCCTGACAGAGAAGTTATAATACTTTGAGTGAGAAATGACCATATTCTAAAACATAAGACTAGAGCTACAAACAAAACCAAAAAATCTATTTAGAAAATACAAAAATTTATTAAATGGATTCTCTGAACATCAATGACACTGTAACTTTAAGTAAATACGAATTCTAGTATAAAATATACATTACTTTACCTTAAAGAAGGCCCAGAAAGATCCTCCAAAGTACTATCGGTGTCAAGAGTCTCCTCATAACCTTTAACAGAAATTTTGCTACTGGTCCCAGATTTCTTTCCTTGAAGAGAGCCATGTTCTGAGCCAGAGTGTACTTTTTCCTCATCAGGAAGTGAGTTCTGAACATTTCCAGTGAGTGAATCCAGCCCTGTAAAGTAAATTTCTTATAAAGCTGATTCCCAATATTAGAAGTTACTGAGAGAACTGATACCTAGATTTCAATAAAATTATAAAAAGTGCAGGCCAGAATGTTTTTAAATTGACTTATTTTTAAAATTTGCTTTTCATCTCTAAAATAAAGCAGTTCATTCTCTGCTTCCATTTAAGGAAAGTGAAGTTTCTTCCATTAATAGCTCCCATTTGCTATTAAAAAATAAATTGTTTTAAACACATGGATAAGGAGAACAGACTAGTGGTCACCAGAGGGGAAGGGGGTTGGGGGGAGGGCAAAAGGGGTGAAGCAGCATATGTATCATGACAAATAAAAACTTGACTACTGATGCTGAACATGACGCAGTCTCTACAGAAACGGATATATAATATTGCAGACCTGAAATCACACAAAGTTATAAGCCAATACGACCTCAATAAAATAATTAAATTTTAAAAATTAAAAAAAACTGTTCTTAAATCAAATGGTAAAAAAAGATAAGCATATTAAACAAGAATTAAGAACTACTTTACCCCTATGAAAAAGTAACAAAAAAGAAGTTTTTTAAGGATAAAACCCAGAGCTAGCAGACAAATGTTATCAACTGCCAAGTGAACTACAAAATCCTTTTGAAAAACTCTATGGCAAGAACAATGTAGCCAGATTCATAAAACTTTTCATATCCTCTGACTCAGAATCACTTATAGGGGTATGTTAAAAGATTATTTAAACAATTATGCAGATATTCAATGTATAACTTTATAATTAAAAAATTTCAACCTATAGTTCCAACAACAGAAGAGTTGTCTAAACCACACAGATAATAGTAACAAACACCTAAGTAGCACTTTGTAATTTAAAATGCACTCCATATATATTACCTTATTGCTCTGAAACATCTTATGAGGTGGATACTGTACGCTCAATTTGCTGATGAGGTAACAAGAGATCTATGAGGCTAAGTAGCTTGCTTAAGGATATACAGTCAACAGCAGAAATAGGATGTAAGTCCAGGCTTTATGACTTAAGTCTAGCGTATCATTCACCTTGATATGTTTCAATAGCAGCATGAGAAATATTTATCATGTGAAAAAAAGAAGCAGAAAAAAGAACTGCATGTATATTTTAATGGTAGCTAAAAATTTTTTAATGTAGATATATGGTTAAAGATCAAAAGAAAATGGAAAAGTCAAAAAAACAATTGTGCTGTACATCCATGTTCACAGCATCATTATTCACAACAGGCAAAAGGTGGAAGCAACCCAAGTCCTTCAACACTTGTTTATGAACGCAT